ATAAGATATATATTATTTTAATAAGTATTATTATTGAGAATAAAAAAAGGTTTCTTAGTATAATTTTAAGAAGATCTAAAAGTTAAAATCTGTATTAATTTCTACTATAGTTTTCTAATATCATTTATAGCGTTATAAAGATAACTAAGTAAACTTAATAATATTATAAAGCTAGTTAATACGTTTAAGTTACTACTAATTCTTTAGATTATTATTATAACTTTTAAGTTTATAGAATTATATTTTAATATTTAATACAAATATTTAAGCTAAAAGATTAAGGATATAGCCATAATATTATATATATTAAGCTCAAATATGTATTTCTATTATCTCTAAGTTTAGTTCTCTATAGAAAGCTTAAAAGTAGATATTATTATTTATAGTATTATTAAAAATAGTTGCTTTAATTTAGTTTAAATATAATAATAATTAATAATATTAATAAAAGTTATTATAAAGGTAGTGCTACTATAACTACTAATAATATTAATAAAAAGCTAAAAAGCTAAAAAGAAAATTATAAAATATTGTTAATATTAATAAAATAACTAGTAACTTTTATAAAAATATAAATATTTAGAAATATTTATAGATTAAACAATGAGTATGTTTTTAACTTTATTATATAAAGTTCTTTAATTACTTATTTACTATAATAATAATAGATATTATTAAAACAATTCTAAATAAATAAATAACTTTATAACATTTTACTAATAACCTCTATATTGTAGTATTATAATATTTATTAGAAATAAGAGTTTTTAAAATAAATAAATTAAAAGTTAATAAAAATAATTAAAGTTATATAGAGATCATATGAAATAGTTATTTTACCTTTAAATATATTTATATAGCTAAATTACAATCTCTTTACGGACACTAATATAAATATAGCTATTAATAATAATATTAAAATACTATTAAAGTTTGTATCTAATTAGAAAAGAATCTTATAAATTATATAAATATTTTAGCTTTATTAAAATATAATTAATACAGAGAAAAGGCTTAAGTTGATATATTATAATAAATACTTTTATAAGAAAGATATAATAATAGTACTAAACACTTTTAGCTAGCTTTTTATATTATATTACTAATAACTCTAATAAAATCTTCTTATATATCTTTAAATAACTTTAATAAAAAAGTTATTATAATTTTAAATCTAATTAGATTAACTTTACTCTCTTTTAAATAAAAGCTTTACTTCAAATATATATTGTTTACTATTAATAATAATAGTTAATGAGTTATTAAGTATTACAAATTAAAAGGATAATAATAAGTAAAATAGTTATAATTTATATAAAAATATAAAAATATACAGTAGTTAATAATATATATATATATTATTAATTAATAAAGAAATAGTAATAATAATTAATATTTTAACTTTCAAAATATAAAACATAATAAGGAGTATAGATAATACATATAAACTAAAATAATAAATAACTTTTAGAGATATATCTAATTGTAATATTATTAATACTATTTAAACTACTAACTTATAATAACTTCTACTCTCTTACAAAGTTTTATATTAATTAAATATTAATTAGTATTATATGAACTATCTAAATATTTCTATTATTATATATAGTAATTAATAAATTATTAATAGCGTTATATTTTAGTAACTAATTATACTTAGAAAATTGAAGTAAAAGCTAATCTATAGTTTCTTATTAGTTAATCTATATATAATATAAGATATTAAATATTTTGATTTAATTAAGGGATATTAAATTGATCGATTAAATAGTAGTAATAGCCTCACTTTACTTAGTTAGGTTATTTACGTTATTAATTTACTTACCCTTATAGATGCGCTAGAAGCAACGATAGGCCTTTGCTTCCATCTCTCAAATCAGTCTTTGTCAAGCTGTTGGATGAATTCGAACTTGATGAGCACAGTAGCACGCTGGGGTCGTCGCACATTACCAAATTCCTCAATCTTGGCACGAAAGTCACCGATATTTTTATCCAGAACTTCTGGCTCAGGCTCACTGACGATATTGCGAGCCAGCACCTAACTGCTATCACACTCAAGGGCGTAGGCCTCAGGGCCAACGACACTAGAAGGCTCTTGAAGAATGCTCGCGGACTGAGAAGTTTTGCCAATCTGGCTGAGTACGGGGACCTATTCGCCTCTGACGTTATCGCTGAGTTAGAGGAGCATTGCCCAGCCCTGGAAACGCTCTGTCTCAAGTTCCCTCACTACCAAGGCCGCCTAGGATTCGCGGAGGTTGGACGAGATGCACCGTTCTCCTTGCGCAAGTTCAAACATCTTCGCAATGTTTGGATCGACAACTGGTGTATCATCAATTCCATCCAGGAAAAGCCAGGACCAGTCACATATCCGCTTAATCCCCAACCTCAGTTTTGGACAAACCATTGGAATGATTTCTTCTAGTCGAAGCTTCCGGAGTCTGTGGAGCGGCTTCACTTCAACGGTAGCGTCTATGTTTGCCCCTATCAATTGCAATCGGCACATATCTTTTCCCTCACAGGGGTTCTCCAAGACCTTGCGGCAGATCATAAGTCTAGTTACTACCCCAAGTTGCAAGAGGTGGCTGTAGAGGGCACAGATGAAGTAGAGCTGGTGAGAAAGGCTTTGGAAGATACCGGTCTCCGGGTTCTTGCTAAGGCGGACAAGAAACCGTATCTATGGTTCTGACATAGTCGACAAGAACAGCAGGAACAACGAGTCAAACGAGAACGAGAGGTGGTTTGTCCGGGCGAGGTGTATACGTATGTAATCCGTACATCCTCCCGAGAACCCCAATTATATTTACACTGCAATAAAGTCAACATATTTCCTAGATACCCGCTGTTGCCGTCGCCCATCGTCGTCGTCCATCGTCGTAGTCGTCTATTATTTTGTCGACTACTATCGTCCTCATCGAAGTCGTAGGTGCGCTACGATTGAAGTCACAGAGGATACTGCCCAGCGAGCGAAACTGTTCTTCGGAATAGCAGAATTGCCCAAAATTGAGCAGCGATCTGAAATAATAGTTACGACGGTGGATTCATCATCATATAACTTGAGTGTACACATATGAGGCTTGGGCTTTGAGCCAAATTCCGAGTGATCGACAACCTTTGTCTACCAAAACATTCCGAAAGGGACGAACGAGATCAAAGCATCCTGCCCATGAATCCCTCTTCCCACCCGCTGCAGAGCCTCCATAATCTCAGCGGAGGGCTTCCAGTCTCCAACATCAAGCAGCCATCTCGGAAACGAGGGGACATGATCCAAGGAGCTGTCGTCGGTGCTTCGAGACGACTTCCTCGCTTCAGCACCACCGCCACTGCTCTTGGAACCATCATCATGGCCACTTCCACTGTCGGCATCGTGGTCAACCGCGATCTCGCCGTCTCCAGACGCGCGAGACTTGTTGGGCGGGATCTCAACATGCTTGTCGAAGTTGGATGAAACCCCAGGCGCCGCGTACCAAAGCCGCCAATACCCGCCACGACTCATCTGGTTCACGTCACAGGACATCTGAAAGGTATTCAGACTGGGCATCTGATCCAAGGCCTTGCACATCGCCTCAATCAAGGGCATCATGACGTCTTTCTCCGGAGTCCGCCGAAATTGCACGGGGCACTGGCCTATCTGGCGGCCGGTCTTGAAGTACCACTCTCCGGAGAGTTTGACCGGCTCGAACTGGAGGCACATGTAGGTCATGTCCTGCCAGAAGGGCGTAGGCTGCTCCGAGGGGCCGTAAGGCCAGAAGAAGGACGGCTCTAGGATGCCGCGGTAGTCCAGCTTCGCGAAGTTGTCGAGCAGGCCGTGCATCGTGGCGCAGAAGTTTGCGTGGTATCTGTCGGTCACGAAGTCTAGCAGCTGTTCGAGCTTGAAGCATGCCGAGGGGTCGATATAGACCTTGGCGAAGTTGTGAGTCGCAAGCTGGAACGCGATCTCGGAGTCTGGGTGCTCAAATTGTCGAGGAACTCAAAATCATTATAGCCGTCCGGGTCGGCGTGGGCGAGAATAAGGTCGTTGAGGTTAGGGCACGCCTTGGCGATGGCGAGGATGCTGGAAGGGTGTACCTGCGGAGAGGCCTCAATGCAGGTCGTCTCGAGAGAGCGGACACATGGCACTACCGGCAGCGTATCAAGACCCGGCAGCTCGATGACCGTGAATTCGCGACGGCGGTGTTGGCCCTTGACGGGTATGCCTCCCGGCACCACCTTTCCCCATGTCTGGCAGTTGATGGTCAGTCGAATGGCCTGGCGATCCGTCCAAGCCGAGAGGATAAGCAGCGTCTTCGAGACAGCTCTGGACGCCTCACGGCCTGCTTGATCCATGTCGAGGGCCTTGTATGGGTGCTTGATGATACGCTGGAGGTATTCGTCCGCTGAATGCGCAATGTGACACGCTTGACGAAGTCGCGACGGTAGGGGCTCGTGGAGAACAGCGACTCGAACATTTGGATGTCATTATCGAGGTTGCTGATCTCGATGGTACGGAAAAGCAGGCGCTCGATGGCATGCTGGAATCTGCGGGAGACCGTTGCAAACCGGGAAATAAGCCGGAGCTTGGGTCTGTATGGGTGGATGATCTCGTCTATGAAACGGTGACTGATGATGTCGTCGACGATCTCCTGCGGAAGTCGATTCATGGTGGGCGGGAGGATGCGGTGTGGTGAAGTTTGACAGGAGCCAAGAGGGAAGCGTAGATGTTGGAGGGTGGAAGTTTGTTTGGGGGGAGGCCTGATGAAATACTTGAATAAGCTGTGGCAGGCTCCCATTTCTTGTGGTGATGCGGGAACATGCATGCATGACCCAGAAAAAGCCAAGAAGTGTGTAGGCGGTGACAAACGGAATGCAAAAGGGGTTTTCCTTCTTCCTCATGGTTCCCAATTTTGGCAATACTGTTAGAGACTAACTGCTTTCCGAATCAAGACTTGGTACCAAGAGAAGAAGGAGTGGAAGGTCGTCACTAGAGCCGATATTCCATCAAATGTGACGAAAATGGTGCGCTAGATCCATGTGACAATCGCTTCCTGGTGGTGGTTTGCGATTGAGACCTCCCGGAACATATCTTCTAGTTCCCTTGCATAGCGTCCAGACTCTGCCAGCCCCCGGGCACGCAGCAGAACTCGAGGCTTGTTCAAGGCAAGCCCATCTAGTTCTTTTCTGTACTCTCGGTCCAGCACACCCGGGAGGTAGTATTCCACTTTCAAGGAGTGCGTCGAATACCATGTGCTGAGGCTATCGGCATCTTGTAGCTTAAAGAGCTGCAAGGATCGCATCTGAACGATGGCTTTGGTGATTGCTCTGAGAAGGGGCATGACTGTGTCTGGGTTAACATCGAATTGTTCAAGCTCAGATACAGCTGAGTCTTCTTCTGTCGAAAACCCAGATAACGCGGCTTTCGTTACTTTACGCAACCGTTCTTCAACTTCCGGATCCATCTTCCTGGTCAACTCCTTTAGGAATGCAATGGCCGAGACGGTCTGTTCTTCTGTCCCATAGCCAGGTGGACTCTGATCTTTGAGATGAAGTGCGAAAGCTTCCTCGCCAGTCTGGGGGCCAATGCCGATGTACCATGTTCCAGAAGGGGCTGCGGGGTTGAGAGTGATGGAGATGCGAGTCACACTCTGCCAGAACGGCTCTGGGCTTTCCGCGAGACTGCTGGGCCAAAAGAAACAAGGATCCAACGGACCACTGTATCGAAATATTTTGACACTGCCTGCTACCCGGCGTAGAGCAAGGGAAAGCCTGTCCTCTTCCTGGCTTGGCACCATGCTCGGCGGGTTGTGGCAGGTATAGTCAGGTCCGTCAATATTGAGCCAAACTTTGGTCATTGAAGAGGGGAGGCGGGTCTTATTGAGGGCTTGAACGAACTCCTCCCGCAACCTCTGACGGAAGGCCAAGAATTCTCCTGGCTCAGTGTAACTCAAAAAGGCGCCTTTGAGACGGGGAAGTTTAGTTGCCAGTTTGAGGCACGACAACGGTGAGACTTCCCGGAAACCTGGTTCCTTGTGATTTCCTGCGTAGTTCATAAAGAGCCCCTGAATGCAGTCGACTAGCGGCAGCTTCTCAGGATGGAGAATCTCGAGATAGTCGTATCGGTAATCAGGCTTGGTGTCAGAGTATTGTAGTCGTTTAGGGCGAGATGTGATGTATAGCGCGATGCCACAGTCCTCTTCCCAACGAGACAAGCATGTTAGAAGATCGAAAATGGCATCCGTCGCGCCGTTGCTGTTGGCCTCTCTCCGCGTCGCTTCTGGATATTTCCTGCAAAGCGGAATTTCCAATTCGAAAATGAGACAATGGAGATGATTGCGGCGGTGCTGGTGGTTGAAAACTTCTGCGAAACGTTCCAGATCGGACCTTCTGATGCGAATTGTCCTGAAAGTATGGCGCTCGATGGCGAGTTTGAATTTCTTGGAAAACGTTGCGAACTTCGATGCACGACGTCGCCTGATCAGCCAAGGTGAGCAGCAGTCGATGATCTGGTCAATGATCTCTTGTGGTAGTCTCTCCATTGTGGTGGCGCGTCGTCGTAGTCATTGTTATAGCTGTCGTCGTCGTCGTCGTCTACTGGCGCAGCGAGTGCGAAGCAGATGAAGGAAAACGAGAAGGAGTGAAGATTATAGAACAGCGGACGGAGAGAACAGCAGACGGCCCCAGCCGTCTAAGCCGTCTGCTGTTCTCTCCTGAAGGTGGAGTTAGAGCACTGAGAAGGTTATGTGTGGAGGGAGAGTTTGAGTTAAAATTCAGGCGAGCGACCGAGGCATCAACCCTTCCACATTCCCTCCGCCTTCGTGACTTGGCGTCAAATCGTTCTATGGTGTTCTGCATACCTGTCGTCCAATTTCTTTGTAGTTCCTTCTTTTCGTGAATTACGCTTGCATTGGATTAGTACCCTGTTAGTACCCTTATTACTGCGACTATTCCTTCGCCGCCATCTCTTCGATCAGCTTCCAGGATTCTTATGCTTCATCTACTCGATGTTAATGGTGCTTCTATAGGTGGCCTTTTTGTTCTTGGATAATGAATATAATACTAGCCACCCGGGCTTCTTGTGGATGAAAATCAACAGAGGTGGTTGTTGAGACCGCGTGAAATTATATTCACTAAAAGCTTTGTTCAGCTGCAGAATGTTAGTCGTTGATCATAGTATTACCAATCGTATCTCTGTCGTAATCCAGCAGCATTAGCTCAACACTTTTCACTGTAGCAATGGGTGATACGCATCGCTTCGCAATAGAGTTAGAGTATTAGATAAGTGACCTATTAGGAGACTAGAGCTTGTGTGCTGCTGATAAAACCACTGGGCTATGGTTGACGTTAGCGTGATTGACCTACCGCACGTATATTACCCATGAAGATGTACAGGACCTTAGGAAAGTTGAACATCCGACACACTGGCCGATAATGCTTTCCGACACACTGGGAGGATGAATCGCCGTCAACTTGTTGTATTTCTGATGACGAAGGGCTCACCACAATCAATCGAGCCTAGAAAATGATGAGTACCTGTACTGTATTGACACCAAGAAATTGAATTATGCTAGGTATCGAGTTACCATTGAACTCCCGAGAAAACACGGAAACCCAATATTGGATGCTTTCATGACGCTAAACAACCATATGTACCTGTACCTGAACGCCACGCTGGGCTGGGACTAAGCCAGGACCCCATTCATCGACGCGTTATAGACATTATTATAAACATGAAAACATTATTTTTCATCACCTCATCAGATCTGAGCCGGCTTGATCTTCGCCAGCTCGGTCGGCAAGCTCGAATGCTTCATCTCGGCCTCTCCATTCCATCCCCGGAACATAGGGTGAGACAGCAAAGGCGGGGTTTTAAGTCGTATCGTCGGCGGGCGGACCGGTCCGACGTCCTCCTCGACCGGCAGTGTAACCCGCCGTGTGGGGTACTTCTTGTGCAGGATCTGCCACGTCTTCTCGACTCTTGCCTCGTGCTCGGTCCAGTCTCCACGAAGAGACATCAATAGTCCTTCTCCCTCCTCTTCATCTTCGACACTCGTCCTTGAGCTAGTCCTCGCGTGCCAGGTGCGTGACCGTGTGCGGGCGGGCGGCGATACGGGAGTCACAGTGGAGACGTCCGTCCGGCTCTGTAATGACTTGCGGATCATGATACTCCGCTGCAGCTCCTCCTCCAACAAAATCCTCGAATGGCTCAGCTTCGTGCGGCGGGCATATTCCTCCCAGGTGAGGTTCGGGTTGCGGAGGATGGCCGTGTTGTACTCTTGCGCGAGCTGCTTCTTCCGCCGGGCGCGGACGACGACGAGATAAATGGTGACGGCGGCGACGGTGAGGATGAGAGAGCCGAGGACGGCCGAGACGATGATCAGGGTCTTGGTGCTCGGAGTGGAGGCGGCGGTGTTTCCGGAAAAGTCGACGGCGACGGGATCGGTGCCGATCTTTACCACGTCGTTTCTCGGGACGTGCGGGATCTTCATGTTTCTTCCCAAGTGATTGGGATATTTAGCGAGTGACGGATATAAGCGTTTAGTTATTATAACGAGCGTAAAGTGGCCATGGAATTCGATAGAAACGACGACCGTCCTGGATGCGAGCGAGTGTGGTTGTGTGGGTTGATGATAGTTGAGTCACGAAAAAAGGTGTCCGATCCCTTCTCGCGGGCGGGTGGGATGGCTCGGGTTCTTGTATATGGGGTAACAAGCAGCAAGCCAAAAAGGCGGTAATTCTATTTAAAAAATTGATTGGGATGCAGAACCCCAAGCTTACTCCGTGCAGTACCCACGTCTCTTTAGTCTCTTGACCGCGCAGGAACGCGGCACTCACCGTATTATTTCACGGGCTGCAGGTGATGCTTCTTTCTGCACGCCATACTGTTCTGCCACCCTTGGCGTAGGCGAGAGGGAACCCCTTCCCCTCCCCGTACGGGGACCGCCGTCGAGCCCGCGAAAGCCACCCGGAGAGGAAGGCAGAGTTCGGATACGGGCTTGGGAGGCTGAAGCGAGAGGCCTTCTTAGAGGGCGAACATGGGCATGAAGACGTAAGCATGCCCCCTCGGAGTGGGATTCGGGATGGCTGGGGCACGCAGAAAGACGAATGGCCAGCTGTCTCTGTGGTGATCCGGCCGTTGGCCACGATAGACGGAGGCTCGATGCTTCTTCTTCCATTGTCAGGCAACCTACCGGGGTAAAGCAAAGCAGACGTGGAGGCATCACTCCATCGCCCGCTGTAGCACAGTGAAGACCAGGGCGAAGGAAAATTCGCTGGAAAACACCAAGAAGCGGACTTTAGGGCTGCCAGGGGCTCTGGATTGGCCGCTCTTGCGCTATAATTGGCCCTGACTAGGCCTTGTCAGGTGTCCAACACGAGGTTAGGCACAGTAGCGCCGCATTGGCGGAGGGGCCCAAAAGCAAATCCCGGACGACGTGCCGGGGGTGACCAGGGGAGTTGGAGAGAGAAGACGGGGAGAGGCCCTCGACCGCGGGATGGACTCACAAACCCGGCCTATCAGGGCTTCTGGAACTCCCGGTGGCTGGGCAGCGGCCGAGCCGTGCTGGACAAGGATCGGATGGTTTGTGTGGTGTCATTGGTGGTGAAGTGTGAGAAGATGGGCACTGCGCTGGCCAGTTGAGTGGCATGGGATTTCTCCGCGCTGAGACTGGAAAGCCCATCGGCCGCATTTTTGGCCATTGGGCACTGAGAAGTCTGTCGATTGTGCGGCTGGTGTAGTCTCCGCCAATGAGTTGTTCTTTTCTCTGGGTCTTTGAAGCACGTCACGTTGGAGAAGATGTGAGTGCCCGATGTCGAGATTCTGTCTGCATCGAATATTGATTGACATGCATACGAATCTACAGATTCAAATCGTTCGTCCATCTGCAAGATGAGATGAAGCTTCATCAAAATGATGGTCAGGGCTTTGGGCTGCCTCTGCAAAGCCATTTGACTTCAGTCAATGAGCGTTGTTGGCATGTGAGGGAAAAAGTTTTCAACAAGACCCCTGTCATGACGATCTCCTCCCATGTCTCGCTAGAACAGCCACAATAGCGGATTTTTGCTTCTGGCTATGCTTCCTTTAGATAACAGATGGCACACCGCTTCGCACCGTTTGCGCTTTTCCGGCAAACAATGTCCAAACTTGAGTCCGGAGTTTCTTCTTTATCATGCGACGTCATGTTGCGCGTAGCAAATGTCTGTTTCATTAAACCAAGCAAATCATGCAATTCCACGCGCATTCTCCTGCATCTGCCCGCTGTCTCGTCTGTCTGAAGCACCTTAATCCCCGGGCCATGGCCGCTTCACAGGCCATCCTCCAGCGCAAAATCCAACACCACAGCCTTTCTTTGCTTCTCCTCGGTTCGCGTGTATATTGAAACCACCTGCCTTGACCCAGACACAAATGTCTCGAGCTGCGGCTCCCCGGAAAACCCATCCCCCTGCCACAGGCAGTGATACTCCAACCGCACCGTCGCATCATCCGCCGCCGCAGTCTCGGGCAGCAGGGCGCCCACGACCGTGAGTTTGTTATCTCGATTGCCCGGCAGAGCAAACACCACCGTCCTTTTCTCGGGTAAAGCAATGACATCTCCCCGGGCCCCCGTCCGCGTTGGCAGCGCGTCAGGCAACGCGTGCCTGCTCCAGTGGCCCCCGGGACTGCGGTAGTAGTGCATCCAGACTTCGTTTTCGCGGTTCAGGGCGTGGAACCCGCCGTCCTCGTCGGCTGCCTGGGCCTCTTGGTTCAGGATGCCGCTGTTCTGCGGGATGTCATACACGATCAGGCCATCTGCGTCTGGGAAGACCGTCTCGCCGACCTCGAGATTCGCCAGCCGCTCGCCTCTGCTGTTGTTGAAGGTCTTGCCGAGATCGTCGCTCGAGACGTAGAAGAGGCTGTAGTTGTTCTCTGGACCGTTTGGTCCGGCCTGCACCGTGTGTAGGCGCGCTTCCGGATCATCGACGCCCTCGTACCATACGAACCCCCGGTATGTCCCAGACACGTGCACGCGGCCGTTGGCGTAAGAAATGCCGTTGATGTACGGGTTGTTTTTGACGCCGGTGAGAAATTGGCCAATGTAGGAGTAGGATTGGTCCTTGCTGCTGTACTTGAAGAGGTGGTCGGAGCCTGCACCGGCTCTGCATTTCGTGCGTCCGCGTCAGCTGCAGGTTTCATCTTCGCGAGATTGGGAATGTCAACTCACATGCCGATGCGATAGCTCAACAAAAGATCATTGTCGACGCGAATGAAGCGAGGGTACGTTGTTTCCAGGAAGATCTTTTCAATCGCCAATTGGCCGGTGCGCGTGTATCCCGGCAATTGATTGTGCGTTGGGCTGAACAGCGATGCTTCCCACTTGTGTGTCTCTGGGCTCGTCGCGACGCCTGGTACTGACATGCGAAAGTGCAATCTGAATACAGTGGTATCAGCGTTGCCGTTACGAGAATGTGTATCAAGCAACTCACGGATCACAGTGGTGGTCGAAGGCAACGTGGATCGTACCATCCCCCTCGCATACGCCTATCGAGATGGTGTTGTGTCCATCATCCGCCGTCTGCTCATAATCCTCAAAGGTCAATGTCTCCCAATCGCCGAGTGTATCCTTGATGGGTCGCCGCGCCGAGCTGACGAAGAGAACATTACTCGTCGCGTCTTTGTGGCAGTAGAAGCAGGTATACTGCCATCCGTTGAAGGTTGTCAGCGCATCCTGTTGGAAAGAGTTTGCATTGATTCGGTGCTCTCTACGCGCGTCGAGCGCCAGCTCCGACTGTGACAAAAGCTTCAGTTGGGATACCATTTTCTCTAAAACCGATCAGCAGATTTCCCAAAGTCAAATATCCAACATGGGAATGGGAACCCCGCGTGTAGACGCCCGCGAGCACCCCTCCATTTTCACCACAGTGACGTATGGAAACCCCTACTCCTGGGTTCGGGGAAGAGGGGGCCGAGCCAAAAGCGATGGACGGATAGCCGCGCGACGATTCCCCCGATGGGCCGACGCCGCTCCCGCCTCCCGAAGCTTGCCCCGACCACCGACACGTTTGTATGACCCGGCGGTTCTGACGACGCCCGATCCTACCTGGCACGAGTTAGTGAGTGCTGAGCAGCCTGTTGGTCCGGCTAGGTCGAGGCCGTCGAACCATGCCATCCCCGCAGGTTTTCCCCCGTTTTCTCCAGTTCCCCCGCGTTTGCAGGCATGTGCTTCTTTGTTCTGCCCAATGAGGCGCATCGGGGAAGGCTGGAAATGGGGCCCGTCCGAGAAATTGAGCAAACAAGACTTTGGGGAGCCGAGCCGTTCAGGCGGTAATGATGAGCGGAATGTTACATTGTGCAAATTGGTTATAAACATCGAGATACGTCCGAACTTTGAGCCGTTGCTTTGCAGGGTTGCGTTTGCTCATCCTTCTTTGCGAGTTCAAGAGGCAGAAGAAGAAGAAGAAACAGAAGATGGTCTGGAAGGACAAGAAGATTAACAACAATGACGACCGCCAGGCGTTGGAGGCCACCACGCCCACCAACACCAAGACGGTCTCTTGGCTCAAGGACTCTGGGCTGAGGCCGCTCAACTTTGGCCTGTTCTTCCTGCTCTGGGGAGATGTCGCACACGGTTTCGACGGCAGTCTCATCAACAACTTACAGCAGATCAACCAATGGCAAGATGGTCCGTTACCGAAACTGTACTCATTGCTCGTTCAACACAACTGACAGACTCAACAACAGACTTCAACCACCCTCGCGACAGCCTCCTCGGAGCCCTCAGCGCGTCTTACTGGGTTGGCAACATCATGGGTGTCCTATTGATCCCGGTTCTTTCTGACCGGACGGGTCGTCGTATCGCCATTGCGGTGGGATGTATCCTCTGCATCGTCGGTGCCGTGATCTGCGCGGCTACTATGAATGTTGGGGCATTCATCGCGGGCCGTCTTCTCCTTGGCATGGGCGGTGTCATTTGCAGCACAGTTTCGACTATTCTAATGACCGAGCTGGCATACCCGGCGCACCGCGCGACGGCCACGGCACTAAGTTCCACAACCTACTCTGTCGGGGCCATCTTGGCTGCATGGGTTGCCTTTGGCAGCTTCCGCATCCCAGAATCTTGGTGCGTATTATGGTGTACGACATCCCGAGTTATCAGCGGCTGCTAACATGAGCAAACAGGGCGTGGCGCGCGCCGACAGTTGTACAGGCCGGCCCAAGCGCGATGGTTTTGATCGGCCTCTTTTTCCTCCCCGAGTAGGTTCGCCAAGGAATCTGCTCTTGACTCGATGTGGTTAACCTTTGAACATAGGTCGCCAAGATGGCTCTGCAGCAAAGGCAGAGAGCAGACTGCCCTGGACATCCTGACCAAGTACCATGGCGCCGGCGACCCCACCGATGCTGTTGTTCAACACGAGTACAACGAGATCAAGGAGACAATTGAAGCCGAAATGACTCAGAACAAGAACCCTTTCCATCTTAAGGCACTGTTCGCGACCAAGGGTAACCGCTACCGTTCGTTCATCATTATCTGGTGCGGTATCTGCAAGCAGTGGTCAGGCAACGGCCTGGTCTCGTGAGTTGACCGAGCCGCTGGGATGGACCCATAGCTCACAATGAACAGGTACTACCTCGGTAGCATGCTCAAGAGCGCTGGCATCAGCAAACAGGTTGAGACGACCCTCATCACGGCAACCTCCCAGATGTTCAGTTTCGCATGCTCATTCGCCTTTGCCTTCTTGCCTGCGCGAGTCGGTCGCAGGCCGTTGATGTTGATCAGCATGGCCCTCATGTGGGTTGTCTTCGCTGTCATCACTGCCACCACGGGAGCATACGTAGAGACCGGTAACCGCCACGCGAGCTACACGACAGTTGCATTCATATACCTCTACAGCGGTGTCCACAACCTGGGGTGGACGGGAGCCCAGATGCTCTACAGTAAGCACGCGAAAGCCAGGGACCAGGCATGCGGGATGAAGAGTTGCTAACGCCGCTTAGTCGTCGAGATCCTGCCTTACCACATCCGCGCCAAGGGCATGGCCATGTTCAGTCTGGTTGCGGGTATTTGCGGGGCCTTCAATACCTATGTCAACCCTGTCGGCATTGCGGCCATGTCGTGGAAGTTTTACTTCTTCTACGTTGGCTGGATTCTTGTGCAGTTCGTGGTCGTGTACCTGTTCTTCCCCGAGGTAAGGATGAGCCCTTTAACCGTGTGGGAGCCGATGCTAACTCCCCGAAGACCAAGGGACCTAGCTTGGAGCAGATTGCTCTGCTCTTTGATGGAAAGGATGCTCAGCTTGGCAGAATCAATGCCGTGGCCGATGAGATGCTCGATGAGAAGAAGGATGTCGCTGTTGAAACGAGGGAGAGGCAGTAATTTGCATGGTTTGTTGCGGAGTTGAGTGGCGTGGAAGATACCCAGATACCCATTCCACATTTTACCCAACCAGCATAGTTCAAATCGAGTCAATAATGCATGGCGCAATATTGTCCTCACTTCCGTGCCTTGTATGAGTCCCATGGAATTTCAACCATAGCTCCCGTGGGATTTTGCCCATGTGGAACTCATCCGTGGGAAAGGCTCTGCGCACAGAGTCATACCCCGCGGAAATGACCTCTGTAAAATCTCAATTGGGTTAATTTTGGACCTGGGGGGCTTTGTTTTTACACACTACAAGTTGAGATGCCAAGACATTGTAACGGCGCATCTATGACTAGCCGCTCGTAGGCAGTGTCAAGTGCAATAAGCCCCTTTGAACCGAAAAGCATTTTGGCCGGCCATCACAATGCCAAGACGTTGGCAAACTCATATTGAAAACACCACAGCACAGCCTCAAACATAATGACCATGTGATTGATAAACTCAGAATGGTAGCTGGCGGATATTTTCATCCTGTTGTAAAATATCTACCGACGGCGTCTTTGTCCGACAACGAACCATCCCGTTCACTCTTTTGGCCTGAAGACGAGACAGCCGGTGGCACGAACTCAGATCTCATAGATCGTCTGTACCGTTTGTCTGGGTCCGGGCCATAGAGTTTCTTCACGTTCCACAATGGCATCGCGACGTAGAGCCCAGATGTCTTCGCCTGTGCGAAGGGGCATCTTGGCTGGCGACCTGTTTCCTATGTTGAAGATATTTCACGATTGGATACGCCCTCTGAATTATGACTTTACACCAACTATTAAGGATCAGTCAATGTTTCAGGAACTCGTAGTTTGATTTACTATTGGAAGGAGTATTAGATGATTGAACAGATGAGCGCCAAGCCTGTCGGAGTTATTGCGGCCTTTGCGAGTCCGTCGAGACTTAATGACGAGAACGAGACGGAATTTAAGAATGGATATTTGAAACCAGAGCAGCAACTTTTTTCGAAAGAACAGACTCTGTGGCCAATGATCGCCCGCTTCCTCCAAACGCCGATAGTTTCGGAGCTTCGCAACTGGCAAACAAACTTCTTGGCCATGTGTGTTTCCCTCGTTCCTGGAAGGGTCCGGTCAGGGTCCCTTGCGCAGGTTCCCCTCCGTGGATTGGCGGGGTGCCACGGTAGTCAGCCAACAGGGGTCGCGGAACGAAATCCTGCCCATCGGTTAGAGCGGCCTTGCCCTGGTGGTCGCAATTGGGCAACTTCATTTAGAGTTCTAACATTTCTGGCCAGACGGCCGAAGGAGGTCTCCGAGTCAAGCCTCCCCGACCTGTCATCAGGTTTGAGATTGCGAACCTTGTGTGCGACTCGGATAGGACCAAGGGCTGAGCGCACAACGCCAGGCTGAACGGCAGAGTCACTTCATTGAAGCTGATGATGAATTTGTAAATGAAATTCCAATTCAAATGCTCCATTCCTAGTATGTACAGTAAATGCCTATTCAGGGTATATGTTATGGCCAGCTTGCAGAGAAGCTGACAAGGCCGTGTAGTCCGTTCCCCAGTCATGAAGCTCTAATCATTCGTAACCCGTCTCCCAGATGCTGCTTGACGTCAAGCTCCCGTGAGCTCGTGTGAGTCCGTAATCACCACCGACTTAAATCCCAGAAGACCTTGATGACATGGCCGTAGATGTCGCACTGAATGAACTCGCATCACTCCCTTTCCTGCCTAACGCCGCAAGCTTTGGTCGTGTGACCTGCGGGGTCTTGTTGACCTCCACAGATACTGTCGTGACCGTTTCGCAATGAATAGCCATGCCCATAACCGAGCCGTCTCCCATACCAAATCCTCTCATGCTGTCTGTACTTGTGTTTGCGTCGACTCCGAGGCCTTTGAGGCTGCCTGGTTTTGTGCCTTTCAGGGCAATCTTCTCGCTCCATTTATCGCGTCGTCTCTGCCTTGGGCGGTCAATGCCGCCAACCACAATAGTGGTGTTACCGAACTTCGGAGGCTGGGAACACATGAAGGAAAAGGTCTCCAGACCAGTCTCCTGTGAAGGTGGGCCGTCACAAGAGAAGACGATCGACCTTCGCGTCGAAGAGTAGAGGGCCACGTCTAGCCAGCCATTGCAGGCGATCATTGCTCCTGCGAAGCAAAAGTAGCCCAAGGATACTTCATGCCCTGCCATAGAGGCAAGACGCCCTGCGGCTAACGGGGTAGTACACACGACGTACACTAGGGGATATAGCAAAAAGGTGTGCTGCCGGGCGTAATCCGGAATTCCTGGTAGTCGTCTGAGAATTGTGGTGAGGCATACGATCCGAAAACTTTGCAGCCGTGACATTCGTGTACTGTTGTTACTTGTTGAGTTGCTTCCGCTCCTGCAAGATGATGCCCTTCCAGAATCCGATCCAACACAGGTTGTTCCACTGCAGGTTGACGTTTCTCCGCATGTTGATGAGCCGCAACAAGCTGGCTCGGGTGCGGGAGAGCCACAACAAGGGACAACCCCACCGCTCCTTCGCGCCACTTTTTGTAGATGAAGAAAGATTATGAAGTAAATAATTGTTGTGACAATTAAAGAAATGAAGATCCATAGATAGTGTAAGGTGAATCGTATGTCCTGATACTTCGAGTTGATCCAGCACTGTGACCATGTTAGCATGTAGTCCCCTGAGTCGGTTTCGGTCTTAGTCCAGCAACTCACCCATGCCCCTGCTCTAACGTACAAGCCGCCGTCATTCTTGCCGTTCTCCGTGACAATCACGCCGAGGATTCCGGTGCCGTACACGAAACCCCACATCATGACAATGGCGGTGTGAAATGCCCATGTTGGCAGCATCTTCGCTCTGACGATCGATATGTATGTGTGCATGGCGATAGCCGTGATGAAGACGGAGGAAGCGAGGTCGCCTGTCGAAATAAACCATCCTTGCGTCCAGCAAGTCTTCGTTCCCACCTCAATCGCGTTTCTTGTAAGCCACTCAAGGTTCAACAAGAAAGCCAATGCCTGCTGTATATCGGCCAGTAGAAGGTTAAAGATTAGAACCAAGAACTGGTTTGGCGGCTCGTTGATCGCTCGTTGTATCCATGTCTCTTTCGTCGGCTTCTCTGATAACTCTTGCTGGGATGCCGACCACTCATTCGGGATGATAAACGCAGCCTCCGTCGGCGGTGGCGATTCGACCTTTGCTATAGGGTCCTTCTTTTCTTCCCTCGGTGGCCCGTTGTGCCATGTTATCAGCTTGTACGTCAAGAACGTTAATAAGCCCAGACTGGTAAAGAAGGAGAAGAACCCCATCGCCGCCACGGCGGCGAGGCCATGACGAAGGACGGGAGGCAATGGGCGAATCGAGTACGGCGAGTTATCCGAGTCGTAATGGTCTATCGACTCGTTCATTTCCGCAATGTTGAATTGGTAGGCGGCGTTGCGCAGCTGCGTGACGATATCATGCGGCAATCGTGGGCGGGCTGCCGGTGGGGTTATATGACGAATTGCTCAGCTCGGGGGGTAAGGCGGGCTTGTGGGCGATATAAGAGGAGATCAGAGTCCGAGAAATACCCCAGCTCGAGTTGACAAGCTATGGATGGGGGAGCTAACGGCACATCCTCTATTCTCCGGTGCCAAGATCCCTTATCCCAGCCGGACGATGAGATACGGTCGAGTCAAGGGCAGCAGAATTGATTCAGCGACTCCTGTGGGGGGACATGAACGTTTCCTTCCTCTTCGGAGGACCATCGGCAACCATCCTGCGCCGCCGAGTTGCGCTTCACACGCAGCGCACTGGTAAACAGCTGATCTTTCATAATTCTTGATGATTAGAGTTCGGCTTCTGGTGGTGTACCATCTCAGCCTATGGGAAGATGTCTGAGTAGGCAGAGAAATGTGCATGTTCCATCCCCGTTCCAAAGCGTTCCAGGCTAAAGTATGTGTTGACGGGACGAGCTCTCATCAGCTCGGCGACCCGCGGACCGGACTGACAAACTCACTCTGCTAAGAGCTGCGAGGGCTTGTTGAAGCAGGGTCAATCCTGCAGACTTGTGCAAGGGGCGGCACCATTCAAAGTATTTCATTGGTTCACTCGTACAGGTTGAACTCTGTGCAGCTTCAAAATGTCCGAGCACGACGTGATGCCACGAGTTGGAGAAACGGCCGTGCCCTTCCCTTCCGCCAGTCGCGGTCGATTCCCGTACGCCTTTACGAACTGTTGGACTCTGCCTGGCCCTACCAGCGATCCTAGCATACGCGGTTCCAGCATTTTGACTGCTTCATGGTTTTCTCTGCAACGGTCTCATGATGCACAGCAACGCGAGACCGTAACCGAGGCAGCGGTTAGTCATATAGCCGCTCGACTTTGATGAGAAATCATCATGAGCCTTCAACTTCCCCGGTTCCATTTCCCCATGGTAATTGAGGATGACAGTCTTAGCCGTTCGGATAATTTCTTCTGCCAAGTGAGGGTCAGACATTGATCAGTCTGGGGAAATTCCCCACGTGATTAAACGATCGACCGATCATATTAGACTCTTAACACTTGCAACAGAAACATCGTGGGGTCTTGGCCAAATCCACAATTGCGCCCGTTAAACATGTAGTATGCTGACGGTGGCAATTATTTACGGTCTAGGCGCCCTCCCACGTGGACTGTATTCTAGAAGGTCGGATCTCGCCCGAAATTTTAGTTTCCCCTGAAGTACGATAGATCTCAGGCTACGAAGGAGGCTAACTGGAATAAGGTGCGAAACCACCCTGCGTCGTCTCCTAAAAGTCTGGCCGGCACTGCCTTTGGTTTCGTTTCGACTCACCGTGCCCTGATATCTTCCACTCGACGCTTTTGCAACCCTCATGACAGGCGATCTATCTTGTGTGCAAGATGCGAAGTTTGCTATTATTACACAGCCTCCAACGTATCAACGGCGTGCCCGTGTTCATTCGGATGGCTTGTCTACCGGGCAGGCTGACTGTTCCTACATGAACGTTATCCGGTACCATTCCCGCTCTTACTGCGTAGCATCGTAGTACACACATCATGTGCCTTCTTGTGTCCCTTCCATCAGCCATTTAAGAAGCACGCGATAGAACCCAGTCTGGACATAAGCTTTTAGGCTCGTCCGATTACTAGAGATTTCGCACGAAGGGAACAGTATTCTTCCAATTCCCATGACTCTTTTGAGGGAATTCGAAGCACCTCTGTAGAGAATTACTGATTAGAAGACATTAGTAGCTGTGGGCTTGTCGTGCAATGAGCCCATGTTGAGTTGTCGCCCGTGGCATTCCACCGGGATAGTCCATAGAAGAGTCGGGCTTTCCGCCGATGCAGCTTCAGAGTTTCTCGTCCTTCGAACTGGTTCCGGGTACTTTGCCGGGCCTGTCATCCTAGCTTCGGTGGCCCCGTGCTTTGAGTTCTGCTCAACATCGACTAAACCATCGGATACCGCCGTTAGTCGATGTCTTCAGCGACTCAAACAGTGTAGGCTGTGATATCAGCAAATCGAGAGTTCAGCTCGGAAGTTGAAGAGGTGAATCCTTCGCAATATCGTCGGATCGGATGCTGTCTGGTGTGGATTATCGTTGTCAGTTGCATCGCCTGGAGGTGGCAAAAATGCGTGGAGGTGTAGTTCGGATGTATTCAGCTACGGCAAACTCCTGGGGGACGCGGCAAACTCCTGGGGGACGCGGCAACGCCGAAAGCGGTTCGCGAACATATATCCGTCTTGGAATGGCTCACTCATGTTCAGTCTGACTAGCTTGTGTCACGTAGTCTTAGCAACAGATGATTCTCGCCCATAGTTTGAATCTCGCAGTAGGCACCACGAAGATTTCGGCTCCCACCTGTGACTAAGGTATTCAGATTAATGATGAATCACTAGTCAGGCCGGTGTTCTCTCCGATGAATATGATCCCAAGTAACGCTACAGAAGAGCGTAACTGCCGAGGACTTCACATCAACTATTCAACACGCGGAGGTGCTACTCGTGTCAGTCCTCTGCATGTTCATGCGATGCACGAAACCTTCTTGGTCTACAGGACACATACTGTGGATAGTACCAAACGAGCGGGCCGCGGGGACACATCCGAAGGACGCGACGGATGAGTTCGACGGGCTGGCCGGGTCTCAGTATCCGACATTGACATTTGTTGCTGCCCGCGTTGTCGTAACATAGATGCGAGCGGGCGCTAGATGTACTTGGTGAGACACGACAACATTCATAGACCGAACATCCAGAATTCAGCCGTTTGGAGCTACGCTGAAACCTCTACAGCTCTTATCGTCCGGCGCTTGGCGGAGACATACGATCTCAACAGGGCGCCTTGACTCGGCTTGACAGGAACAGATACATTGTATGGGTGTCGTTGGGGGCGAAGTGTCCTCTACTGCTAAGGCATGTATGGATACGACAAGGTATGAATGGCCTAGTTGGTACATCTTGATACGTGGCAAGAACAACACGAATGCAACATGCCGCACAGCTAAGCGAAATTTCGAAGGGGAAGTTTGCTTTGCCTACATTCAGGGCAGATATGTGGCTGGCCATTGACTTGATATCAAGTAAATGGCATCCGGTGCAGCTTTATCTAGCTTGCGTGATATGATACCTAGCATCGGTTAGGGGTAAGGGACATGGCTAAGTCCTTGTTTGCGAGAGGAATACGAGAGATGCCACAGCAAACATGATCTGGACCTGCATCTAAAAGGTTACACGACATGCGATGTTTTCTGTAAGCTGATGATTACTGGACAGGTTTGAATCATGCCCGTTTCCCCGCCAGAGGCTGCAAGAACACTCCGCTGTGGGATGTACATGTCTCTATGATGGCGATTTCTCGAAAATCTTCAAAAGAAACGAGGTGAGCACGAAGTTCGATGAAAGCTGACTTTCTTCCACCGGTTGTATCCCAGCAGCTTTCACGTTCACTACAGTCCTGGTGAACATCTCCGAACATGCGCCTACCGACTTTCAACCTCCTCTTTCTCGTGATCTTGGCCGAAACATTCAGCCTCGGAAGATCATGTACGCCTCCCCCGACGAGTAACAACGAGACCTATCCTCGGTTCTCCTACGGCGAGAATGTTGTCCCAGACCATGCAACCGCTGCCTACACGATGAATCACATCTCGCTACTAGTCAATGATCTCAAAGCCAGTCTCGACTTCTACACTCGTATTCTTGGCATGCGAGTCATCCACCATATCGAGGCGACTGAATGGTTTGGCATCGTCTATCTCGGCTACAGCCATGGCGGCAGAAACGGAACCGGATGGCAACCGAGTTCGGAACTCTACCGGCAACGAAGCAATATCGAAGGTCTCATCGAATTGGTCTATCGAAGCAATCAAGCTGGCAGACAAGAACCGAGTGCAACTCTCTCAGATTTAGGCTTTATTGTCCCAGATATTGCCGCGACGCAAAAGCGAATGAAAGATAACAATGTGACGATCATACGCAAAGCTGGAGAGTTGCCACAAACCCTTTCAAAACCTCTTGCCCGAGCATTCGGGTTGTTGAACCTGACCAAGATTGAGAATGATGCGATTCTTAAGGCTGTGCCTCGGTACTTGATGGTGGCGGACCCGGACGGCAATATTGTTGAGTTTCAACCCCAGATTTAGGATCAGTCAGATTGTTCTCGTATCATAAATTGAACCTTCAATACATAACAGGCTTGTTGGGAAGATTATCTCATTGGTTTAGTATGCCGACGTTGCGGATGATCTGACGTATACTGGAAGGAGAGCGAGTTGACTCCGACCGAGTGCCAAGTATTTCATGCCACAAGAGGTATGATAGATTGTGAGGAACATTCAATACCAACGTGATGTTTTGAATTGATTTTCTCATTGTCGAGAACCTGCGGGGCGTTGTCGCAGGAACTGGTCTCTCGTCGTATCCCACTTAACTCGTAGCCCGAGCTTTTGAGGTTTGCCAGGCCAACAATTAACTCTACCGCTTCAAACAACGAGCCGCTCCAGCCGACATGCAACGCAAAAACAACCAGGCTGAGGATCCGGTCACTACCGGAGGCAGTAACCCGATCATAGAAGTGTTCTCCATGGTTATTTCGCTGCATACGGAACAAGCTCGTGTCTTTGCACTGAGTATGGTACTCGGTCGGCAGCAGAAGGCGAAGGATGGACCGGCCGTGCTTCATCTACTAGCTCATCGAGCTTTGCCGGTCAAGATTCGGTCTCGACTGACCAGGGATGGAGGAAGGACTGTGATAGCTTTAACTCTTTCGGTTGGTGGGATAACTTCACGGCTGTGTATGGATGTGATCTTAGGCCAAGTGTGCAGGGCCGGCCAGAGGGGCTGGCTGCAGGGCGTTGTCCCCCGGATGCTGTAAGGCCCGTCGCGAGAGGGCTCCAGAGGAGGGAGGTGGAGAGCATTCAGCTAATGAGG